AGAAACTTTTTTCTTCTGTGGATCATACTTCTGGTGTCATATCTAAGGGATATTTACCTAACCCAGGATCATAAAGATTTTTCCCAAACATTTCCCCATTTTTGTACTTATATGTAGTTATACCTTTGGGTCTATTACCTATTCGAGATAATTTTTGTATTTTGTGTAAAATATAAACTACAAAGTTCATGTATTTACATACAAATATCCAATTATACCAGCACATTTTCTTGGGGAAAAAATGTATTATTTCTCTACTGAACTGCCTTTGATACCTTTCTCAAAAGTTGGTTTTATCCATATATGTGTGAGTCTATTCTAGACTTTCTATTTTGTTCTAGTCATCTATTTTATGACATTGTCACATAATCTTTAAAATTATTGCAGTTTTGCAAGTCTTAAAATAGGTAGGATTAGTTCTTTAACTTTGTTCTCTTTCAAAGTTGTTTTGGTTATTCTAGGTCTTTTGAACTTTGATACAAATCTTAAAGTTAATCTGTCAGTTTCTTCTGGGACTCTGATTGATACCAGATTGAATCTATAGGTCACTTTAGGAAGAGATGCTATTTTAATAACATGGAGTCTTTGACTCTTAAACACAATATATTTTTCCACTTATGTTGAACATATTTAGTTACTATCAGCAATGTTTTGCAGGTTTATCTCACAAGTCCTTTTTCAGGTTTATCCTTATTCGTTTCATAATTTTCACATTATTTTGAATGGCACTTTAATACTCTGGTTTCTCTGTAGATTGTATAAATCTTCTGCCTTTTGTTGAATGGCACTTTAGAAAACTATAAATTTCAAATTATTCGTCGCTGTTTATCTGATTTTTAATTTTAAGATTTATCTTTTTTGCTTGGTTTTATCTCTTCTTTCATTATAAACAGAGTGAGAAATTTTTAAATGTTTGTTACTTTGAGAAATTTACTGACCAAATTCTACTTGCATAGGACTAGAAAGGGAAAGATTGACCTTGACCCTCTTTTACCACTTCTGTGCAAGCAGAGTCCTTCCCTAATATCTCTAGGTAAAGCTAACATTTCTCTCTGAAATTCTGGAGAATCTAGATTCTCTACAGTGGCAAACAAACCTACAGAGTCTGAGCTCCTGGCACGAAATTTTCAGTTCTCTAAGCATTTGGCTTTAGCTGCTGAAGGTCACAGAACTGACTGGCAGGAAATAGGACACAGACAGCAGGTGGCCCCGCCAGAGCAGCTGAAAAAGAGCTCTATTCATGGCCAATTGTACATCATGAATGCCTGGTGACAGCACAGCATACCTGTCAGCCCCATAGCAGGCTGATTAGGTTAATTGAGATCTTTGTTTTCGTGCAAGAGCTGTCAACAGTGTCAGCGATGCTAAGAATCATAGTCAAGGAGTGGTCAAGAAGATCCGAAGGGGTGCTTGTGTGGGCATGGAAGGCTAAGATACCGTGGATTCATTTCAACCCGGGGATGATCTGATTTGAGAATCTGATCCATCATACAAATGATAGCTTGCAGGTAATCTTGGGATTCCTGCAGGCAAGTTTCAAAGAATGAGTTCACTTTCCAAAAATATTTCAGCTCCAAACCATTTAAGAACAGAGTGCATTGCAAGTGTATCACTAATGTGGGTGGGTGCGGTGCCTGCCCCACACAGGGCTCAGAGGATTAATAGGAAGATTCACAGAGGATATTAATGGTTTTTAAAAAAATCTTAGAGTCAGAACTAGAATCTTTATTTTAAATATAATAGTTAAATTTACATACTTTCAAGGGCAATAAAAGGACACCCCTGCTTCCAGTTACTATGCTAATCTATACTTGAATTTTCATATATTATTTTTAGCTCTTTTTCAACTAATACCTTAATACTGATACCATTGTTAGGATGGTAAGTCATTAGCTCTTATAGTCATTTAACGAGTTCATCTTTGTGAATGAGTGCAAGAGAAAGCACTTTTCCTAGTGCTTGAACAGTATACCATAGGGAGGGAGAAGAAGAAACCTAAAGTAAATGATAATAAATGGAGCAGGATAGGCAGGAGGGGACAGAGAATCAGACACAATTTCAAATTTCACTGAGGTTCAGCTCTGTAAACTTCACATAAGAATATCAAAAGATACTACTAAGAAAGTGAAAGGACAACCCACACAACTAGAGACACTGTTTTTAAATTATATATTTAAAACAAGTCTAGAACCAGAATATATAAAGAACTCTTACACCTCAACAACAACAAAATACCAACAACTCAGTTTAAAAAAATGAGCAAAAGATTAAACAGATTTCTCTTCAAGGAAGGTATACAAAAAACCAATAACCACATTAATAATGTTTGACATTGTTAGTCACTGGGAAAACATAGAACTAAGTTCTATAGGATACCACTTCATATCTTCTAGGATCTAGGATGATTTTCCTCTTACTGTAGATTCCTGTTACTATAACAAAATGTTTGAAGGAATCAACTTATAAAAATAAAAGACTTGCATTGGCTCATGGTTTTGGAGGTTTTAGTTCATGATCAATCTGCTTTGAACCTGAATGGGGCAGAATGGAATGGGCAGGAATCCATGGCAGAGCAAAACAACTCATCTTATTGCTAGGAGGCAAAATATAGGAAGAGGAAGAGGCTAAGGTCTCAGATCTCTCTCGGGAGCACACTCACTCTGACCTGAAAACCTCCCACTAGGCCTCTCTTAAAGATTCTACCACTTCATCACCCTAGCACCACCCTAGCGACCAAGTCTTTAAGGTGAGAAAACACATGCTGAACCTTGGACCCAGTGTAATGGTCTTGAGAGGTGATAGATCTTTGAGAGCTGATTAGGCCTTTGGATTAGGCCTTGGGCCTAGGATTAATGCCTTTTCTTGAGAGTAAGTTCTTGGTCTTGTGGGAATGCATTAGTTCTTAAGGGAATGGGCTGAGAACATATAACGCTAGTCTGGCACCTCCAACCCCTGCTCTATTCCACACTTGTGCACTTTCACACTACCCATATTCACATCATGAGTTGATGAAGCCTGGGCCCCTTATCGGAAATGGAGTAAATGCCAGGACTATTCTTCTGGCCTTTCAGGAACCGTGAGCCAAATAAACCTGTTTTGAAAAATAAAATGTCTAACCTTGAATATTTTGTTAGCAACGGAAAACAGATGAGAAACAGATCCCTCATACATTACTGGTAGAAGTGTCCAATGGCACTGCCACCCTGGGAAGCAATTTGGAAATGTATTAAAAATTCAGGACAGAATTACCATTTTACTTCTAGGTATATACATACAATAGAGTTGAAAGCAGATGCTTAAGAAATTCATATGAATGTTCATAACAGCACTCCCTACAATAGCTAAAAGCTCTAAATAGTCATATGTCTGTTACCTGACAAATGGATAAACAAAAGTTGGTAGATCCATACAAAGGAATATCATAACTCCATAAAAAGGAATGAAGGACTGAAACATGCTACAACATGGATATACCTTGAAAATATCATAAAAACTAAAACTGAGACCCCAAATTCCTGATATTATGTAATTCCATTTATATGAGCTATCCAGGACTAGTAAGTATATAAAGATAGAAAGCAGATTAATAGGTTTCAGGAGCCAACGTAAAATGAGTATAAGCACTGATTGCCAGAAGGAATATGGAATCTTTTTAAGTGGTGAGGAAAATGCACTGGAAATTGATAGAGGTGATGCTTTGCACAATGTTGCAAATACACCAAAACAACTGAGAGATATACCTTAAAATGATTAAAATGATGAATTTTATGTTATAAGAAGTTTATCTTAATTAAAAAATAAATAAGCCACCAAGAAGCTCCTTTTGGGAAATACTAGCGACCCCAAGTCTTTGCAGATGAGTGTTTGTGGAACGCTAACCTTAGCATGTGGAAGATGTCTAGAGAATGTATCACCAGTTTAATATTTGCAAAGCTTAGATATACAACAGAGCTTCCATAGGGTAGCCCTGGCTATTATTCTTCCTGTACTACAACATAAGAATACATGCGGAAAAAAAGAAGACAGGGAAGGGAAACAGATTTTCATTGTAAGAAATGTAGTTTTTCAAACTACATTGAATGAATGAATACCTGAACCATAAAAATTTGTTACAGTCAAAGGACGAGCTATGAACCAGACTTCAAGGCAAGGCAAGAAGGGCCTTGCTGTCCACCCCAAAGATAGATGCCTCCATTTTCTGTCATTACAACTCAGAGTTCTTGGCTTTAAAATACGTAGATACAAGGAAATCGTGCCAACCAATGCATATGTCTTATAATATTAAAAGTTATTTGAAGTTTGCTTAGATATATGAGAAATTCAGTGGTTGATTTCTTCCTCTTTTTTAGTCACAATTGAGATTCTCTTTTTTAGTTACAAAAACAAGTACTTCTGAGTCAGAGAAAAAGTTCACTTCAGTGTTTTGACTAAATTTGGCAGTGTAGCTAATGGCTCCATAATAGTTTAATCTCTAATAACAAACTACAATTAAAGGCATTGTATAAAATGGCACCCTGGTGTTTCCTTTTTTTCCTGGAAACTCATTTATTTGAAACACAATGAGTGAAGTGTTATAGTTTACTGGTTATACTGGCCACTTAGTTTCTCTCTTTTGTTACCTGAAACTGCTTATTAGGTAGACATCTTGAAAATACGTTTTTATCATCCAGGTTGGAGAAAAAAAATGATATTTTCAGCTTCTGATCTGGCTTCTGAGTAGCTCAGGATTGATCACTCCACTCTAGCAAGAAAAAAGCTCAGCACACTGATAAACCAACAATGTTTAAGTCTTCCTAGACCCAGAAGCGAAGTAAGATCACAATTGATGAGCTGGACTTTACTAAAATTAAAAACTTTTACTCTCCAAGAGACATCAAAAGAATGAAAAGACAATCCACAGCTTGGGAGAAAATATCTTCAAAAATACTTGACATACAACTATTTTCTAAAATACAAAAAGAAATAAAGAAAAATTAAGATGTGTTATATACACTTACCAGCTCTTTACAAGTAATATAATCATTACGTGTTGCAAACATGTACTGATGAAAATTAAAATTAAAAAATAAAAGATAAATTTGTCGATAAAATTAAATGTATAATTCTTAAAACTCAACAATAATAGAATAAATAATCTGGTTTTAAAATAGGTAAATGATCTGGAAAGAAAGTTTACCAAAGATAATATACAAATGGCAAGTAAGCACATGAAATTATTTTCACTGTTATGTAGCCACTAGGGAACTTAACATTAATGCAACAATGAGGTACCACTAAATACCTAATAGTACAGCCAAAATTCAGAGCACTGACAACACCAAAAAAGGGTGAGGGTGTGGAACAATGGGAACTCTCTGCCCAGTTTGTAGAGTCACTTTGAAAGTTTGGCAAAGTAAACTAGGATCCCTGAATCATCCTCCTTAGTATTTACTCAAATGTACTGAAAACATATCCACACAAAAGCTGAACATGGATATTTAAAGCTACTTTATTCACAATTTTCAAAGCTTGAAAAGACACAAACCAATGTGTCCTTCTTTGAATAGATCAAAACACCATGCCATACCCAGACAACGGAATATTAGACAGTACTAAAAGCAAGTGAGCTGTTAAGGCGAAGGAAACAAATAGGTATTACAAGATGAAAGAATTCAATCAGAAAAGGCTACATATTGTATGTTTTCAAATATAACATTCTGGGAAAGGCAAAACCATGAAGCCCATAAAAAATAATTGGTTGCTAGGAGCTGGAGAGAGGGAAAATGTAGAGGATTATAGAACAGTATAGAGGATTATAGAACAGTAAATCATCTATGTTGTTTGATACAACAACTGATACATGTCAAAACCTATAAAGCATACTACACTATAAGGGTAAGCCAGAGCATACCAGGAGTGAACCTGAATGTCAACTATGCACTTTGAAGGAAATGATATAGCAATTCAGCCTCACTGATTATACAAATGTGCCAGCTTTTGATGGGGGAAGGGTTTATCTGAGGCTAGGGATACAAGTACAATTTCTAAGTCTTCCAATCAACTTTGTTGTAAGTCAAAAACTACTCTTAAAACTAAAACTCATTTTAAAATAAATGTTAGCTCTTGATGCAACAATAACTGTCATCATCTTTACATATCAAAACAAGAAAAAATTCCAGCCAGTAACTATTGGTACTCAATATGTTTGTTGCCAAGTGAATAAATAGAGTGATTCAGTTAAGCAGAGAGAAGGAAAGATAAATGTCTGAAACCAGGAAATGAGAAAAATTAGAGCAAGAAAAGAGACTGCAGAGCCATGTTTTACACCTCCTTGCCACTCGGGATGTCTTTAGGGAAGTTTTTTTCTAATATGCATTAGTGATTTAGCAGAAATATCATCCTGAAGAGCATTTTTTTAAGGACTCAAAATGTCAGAGACTGTTCACTAACATAAGCCTGAATATGAAATTTATGAGAAAGTCCTTGAAAATATAGGGAGCAAATCGCCTAGAGATTCACCTGCGTCTTCACTGAGGAAGAGTCAAAAGATCAAATTCTATATCTGCCAAATCACTCTCTTCTCTTGTTAGTATTAGAATATCCCAATTACTACCCGTGGCTCCCACAAACCTCTGAGAAATTATACAGTACTCTTAAGTTTTAGAGAGTATTCCACCTTTGGATTCCTCCCTCTAATGTTTGTGCAGGCCTAACAAATGGAAGAGCCCAAATAAAACACTGCCACATCCCTATCCCAGTGTCAGTGGGCTGGGACTGTAGGGACACTCTGGGGACATGTTACACTTTTCCTCATCTGCCATAACTGCTGTTGCTGTTGCTCTCTTCCTTCTGCCCTTTATTTCTCCTCCCTGTTTTCTTTCTCTTCCTTATGTTCTCCTACACCTCCTTTATTCTTTTCCTCCCTTTTCCATCAGCTTATACCCAAATACATTCCAAAGGACAGTTAAAGAAATCTTGTCCCACGAGAAACAGAAAAATAAGATCTGTAAAATTATATTACTAATAAATTTTTAAAAATAACACGACTCTTAAAAGCACCATAAATTTTCTCTCTCTAGGAGTTAAGTTTTACCAGATGATCTCTGGTGATTCAGGATATTCAGCAATTGGTTTTCAAATATCATTGAAATGATTCTCTATTTGCCGGTTAGTTTTACTTAGTCACAAGGTATCTTGGTGTTTTTGCTGTTCACCAGCCAGAGCACTTCAGGCACCAGGGCTCTTTGCTGGACACTGACCAAAGTCTGGGTGGCAAATTGTGTGGCTTTGAATTTTATTGATGCTGGGTCCCTTAGAGCTGTGGCAAATTGTTTTAGCTCTGGTCCAGTGAATGGTTTTGGTTATGCAATTACCTAGGCCCTAGTTTGTTCAATCAAGTAGAACTCAAATTTACTAGTGCTCAATCCTGTAATTGTTGGCACTTTAAAAATAAAAAAAAAAAATGCAGCACAGTTGCTAAGCAGTTCCATAAATGGAAACCACATTTGTTAAATGAGTTATAGCCCAGGAACCTCAGCAAGAGTACTCATGGGTGTCCTGGTCTCAGCCTGCCTTGCATCTCACATGAAGAACTGAAGTGTGTGACACCCTTCCAGAGGGAACTGGATCCACCTAGAAGGCAAGAAGGTTCTCTTAGTCTTCCAAAACTTGTTTTCATAAACCTTGTTCATGGGACAACTCATTGTGAAGTTGAGATTATGTGCAAGTCTGTATACAATTAAATCTCAAAATAAATTCCTTAGAATGATGTTTATTTGCTTTTGGCTGATTTGGCAATAAACACGAAAAGTTCACAGGGTTCTGAGAAAATCTCCATACTTTTGTTTAAGTTGCAAGTATTTAATTAACCTAGTGCAATTCTCATGCAAAAAATTAATAAAAATTCAAAACTTAAAAATGATGATTTTAAGAGAAAACTATGTATTGGAACTATAAAGGTCACAGTGCATTGCTATGAATTTTTCTCTCCATCATCGTCCATGCTTTGGGGAGAAAATTGCAGTAGTGACTTACTATCCTTTAAAGTTTGTTGAATGAATAGCAGTGTTGAAGAAGAACAGAAAGCCTCAGGTAGGAAGTTATATTAATGGGAATCTAAAGAGTTTCTTAGAAAAGAATACTGCTTCTCTTTGAGAAGTTTGAGAATGACAGCTCTAAAAACAAAAACATACCCCAGAGTCTTTTTTAGAGTTAACTTTTAAAAGGAGTGGACAAAGAATATTTTTCATAAGCATTACTGAAAAAATGCTATTAACTAGGAATGCCGGTCTTAAATGTCCCCTCCTAGTTCTGGGAGCTGCTTAGCATTCACTGTGCCCAGGATCACTTTGTTCCCTCCCAAAACACCTGATTTTAGGAAGAGATCTTGCCATCATTCTCCTGAGACTTAGTAACTGAATCTAATTACTGTAGTACATTAACTTATTTTTTGAATAAAAGTTTTAATAGACAGCAATAGATGTCCTATTTACTTTTTCATAAGAATCAGTGCCGTACACCAAGGTGATTTCTACTTGTAGAATTAAAAACATTAGTCAGAGAATGAGAGGAAATAATTTAGAGAAGAAAGACTTTCTTGCAAAAATTAGAGAGGTCATCTACTTCACTGATTTTTAAGGGGTGGTAATTGATCACCGTGTGGTATTCTGGCCTTCCTACATATGAAAACAGTTACTAAAAAGAAAACAAGGAGACACCTGTCATCAAAATACACAGTGTCTAACAGAACTGTGAATTTCACTACAAATCTCTCAGCTACTTTCATATGGCTAACATTATTATACTGTGTATTCAAATGTGACCTTCTGTTTTCAAAGAGGCAAAATTTAATTGCTTTTGTCTTTGCTGAAATAAAAGTAGCCATCCTGCATTCATAGGACTGAAAGGACTCATTTTGTTTGCAACTATTTGACCTTTGGACTATGTTGTCATTAGCATGTCCATTAATTCATTACCTTTTATAAATCTAAATGTCTTTCATACTTTCTAGAAATGTGTTAGGAGTACATTTTCCACGCTTCTTTACTTTCTCACTCCTCTCTAAATTGTTTATGTCTAAAGGGATTAATATCCTACCATTATATGTTCGATGTATTTTCAGATTTATCCAGGTAAATTTGTATTAACAGTTTGACTTTTTGAATACTGTGAGCTGGTTCCATGTCTACCATTTGCCCTCTGTGCTTTGCACACAAATTGCTCTATAGATTTGCAAATTACCTGCCATGTAGGTTTGTTTCAGATTCAAAATTCCCAACAGGAAAGTAATCATACTGCCACCAGTATCAGAGGCATTCAGAGGCTTGTCTTTCCTTTATAAATCCCTATTGCTAAGTCCTTTGACTTAGCAAAAGAATGCAAGGTTCAGGTTAGGTCAACAACAAAGTCAAGGTCAATTGTGGGGGAGTGACATGAGAAAGAACCTAACTAGCTCAAATATTAAAACGTCAGTGCTTAGATAGACATTAGCCATCACCTGCGGTCCTCATGCACTTAATGCATTTTGTTAATAGACTCTAAGGCTCTCATTATCTGCTTTTTCCTTTCACTTAAGAGTGGAATTTCTTTGCACTTAAAACACTGTACCTTCCTCTGGGTATAATCTGTTCATGACTTCTGAAATAGCTTATAAATTACATCTCCTGAATATGCAGTTAGCAAAACTGTTTCTTACACTCCGGGGAAGATAAAGTAGTTTCAAACACCTACTTACAGAAGTGATTAAGTGGAATTCTTGCTTTAGGTACAGAGCACCAGTGGACTCATAGATTTTTTTTGCATTTACCTTTGGAGTTTTGCTTATTTTGGCTCTACCAATTTCCTTAATCTGAGAAAAATGCAACTCTGAGTTTATTTCAACAGACTTAACTGTAGAAGAGAGAGAAGGGTGAGTTTCGGGGGTCATAACATCTCTTGGTTCTGTAACCATCTTGTGTTAGTCAGCTTTGCACCATTATAAAAAATGTCTGAGATAGTTAATTTATAAAGAGAAAAGGTTAATTTGGGCTCACAGTTTTGGTGATTCCAATCTATGGTCAGTGCTCCTTGCTGCTTTGGGCCTGGCCTACACACCATGGCAGGAATGCAGAGCACAGCAAAAACAAAAGAAGGAAACGAGGCTGGGGCCCCACAATTCCATTTCAGGGAATACCTCAAATGATTTAAGAACTTTCAATTAGGGTCCAGTGTTCCACTGTCTCCTCTTAGCATGACCTTTCAGATCAAGTGTGTAAACATGAGCCTTTCAGGACCAGTTGGCATCCATACTGTAACACACTGCCCACAACCTTCTGTCATTCTAAGTCCGCTTCTGTGCTTGAGTAAAGTCTTACAAGAACACACTAGATTTTACTTCCACATGACTTCTTGCTTGGTGTTCATTCGGTTAACCTTAGAGGATTTCAGGGCTTTCAAAGTAAGGAAAAAATTTCATACTCAGATAGTGCTGAGAACTCTTGGGCCAGACATAGCTTACTTTGTTGAAGAGTCATTAAATAAGTAGGCTAATATCCATTGCAAATCTTCAAGCATGAAGGAGCATTTTTCAAACATATTTGACCTTGGAAGACTTTTTGTTAGAGTATCTCTAAATATCTTATAGTCTGCAAGGAATCAAGCCACAGTTCAACTGCAATTTTAAAGCCTGTTTCAGTTATCCATATTCTGTCTAGCACAAGTCAGAATTATCATTTCACTGACTTGGTTGAATTCATGAGTAATATCACTTTGGTCCTGAACCATAATCAGTCATGGTATCTTACTACTATTAGACTCTTATCAGGCTATGAGATAAAGAGTATGCATGTGCTTTATAAAATCTAAAGCTCATAAAGTAACCCAGGAAGAACTATTATTATTTGATTATTGAAAGTTTCATCAAGTTATAGATTCATGGGGAAGAAAAAGAAGTCTATGGTGGAATATAATAGTTGACCACAAAAGAAAAATCCTTCAAGTATTAAGGATGCAACTCTTATTTTCTGATTTCTCTGAAAAGTTTCTTAGGAATTTACCGTTGAGAAAGTTCCTTAAGATTTTGTACAATATCTTGGAACTCTAGTGTTATTACTCTGATAATAATAATTATTTTGCTTATTTGAACAAACATGATATTTATTAGTCCATTTGTGCTGCAATAACAATGTAGACTTAGATTGGTCAATTGATATATTGCAGAAATGTATTGTTCACAGCCCTAGAGGCTGGGAAGTCTAAGAACCAGGCAGCAGCAGAATATGTATCTCTCTATTGCAGGATGGTGCCTTGTTGCTGAAATCTCTCATGATGGAAGGGACCAGGAGCCTTTCTCAGGGTTCTTTACATTATCTTACTCCTGAGGGCACAGCCGCTAACATGACCACATCTTGAATACCCACTTCTTAATGCTATGACCAGAAACCAGGAGACTGAAGACTTCTGAGTATTAGATTTTGACATATAAATTTTGGGAGAACATATATATTTGCACCATAGAAATATTCTTAAATCTTTAAGAGATGCTAGAGTTTTAAATTGCTATTTTCTGGTACACAAAGACTCAGACTACTCTAGGAAAATTGGTGTCTCCTGATTTAATTCCATTTTGGTGAGAATTTTATTGATAGAGTTTAGAGACTGCGTCCTATTTTGCACCTACAGAGTCAGAGAGAAAAATAGTAATAGAAAGATGGGTGATTCACTCTCCTATGACTAGCTGCACTAATTTTAGCTATCAGATCAGTCAGATCCAAACTGAAGGAACTTAAATGACAATGGCATATATTACCTAGGTCAATTTTAGTGATTTAGTCACAGGAGGTTCTGATACTACCCTATCTAAAAATTATACTTGGAAGATCACATTAGGTGGTGGTAATGGTTTCACAGTAAAGTGGATGTACCTGGGAAAACTTGATAGGAGGTTAAAATTGTTCTTAGCATCTAGTAAGCCCAGTGCATCAGATTTCTCTCAGCTGCTGTCTAGGTACCCAGGCCTTTCTTGCAAGAGAGAATTAAGACTGGGAGGCAACAGCATCCAAGCAACAATACAAAAATTAAATGATATTAATTTATCACTTAATTCATCCTGTCCTATGTGACAGGAATTATGTCATAACGTTAAGTGTAGTTTATTCAACCTAAGACTAAGAAGATGTTTATTTGTCTGATTCTGAGAGTTTTGATGACACAAAGTCCTTCACCAATGAACTTAATTAACTTGCTTCAGGGTTAGCAGATGTGTGTTAGCGAGACTGAGGCTGGGCTGGTTGTGAAATATGTTAATTGTAATTCAATTTCAAAAACTTGTGAACTATAAGGCTTTTTAAAAAGAAATAAAAGTTTCTCCTATTGTTGAGAGTAAGTTCATACACTCTTGTGTGAGAAATACTGACTTAAAACACTTGAGACCTTCTTCCAAAAGAATTGTTAAACCATGCAAATCACCAAAGATAGGAGGAAACAAATGGATAAAAATAAAAATTTAAATTATCATTCTAAAGAAAATACCAAATTTTAAGTCAATTTTGTTTTAATAATTTGTGAAGCCTGCTGCCTCCTAAGAATCATCTCAGAAACATCTCAGAAAGTTTTGAGAGCCTCTGACAATCAGGTGATGGTGGTGATTCTCAACCAAGACTATTTAAAAAATTTGCTCCCTAAAATGAGAAGTAAGATTAAGAAATAAATATCTGTATATATGAAGAGAGTATTTGACTCTCAGGGGTCTGATTTAGTGCAGATAATTTAGAAAATAGAAACTAGAGAAAATAGTCTGACAAGACTTAGGGTGTCTCCATTTTAACCTCCCATTCTTAAGCAATTTGAGTTGGGGGTAACTTGTTTGGGAATTTAGGCAACACCGCCTATGAGTATTTATATGGGCAGAATTTGTTTTTTCCTGGGGCTGTTGAGCTGCCAGCCATTTAGGGCCTGCTTGGTACATGGTCAGGTGCCCCCTCCTCCTTTTCTTCTTGTGGTTCCTCCAATAGAAATAATCATTTGTTTTTAATGGAAAGAAACTCGCCTTTTTCATAATCTCCGCTACAGATCTGCTTTTGATTCCGCATGCTTCATTTTGTTCCCCAAAGGATAATTTGGAGATTTGAGTAATTAACCCAAGACTCATAGGAGGCAGTCTTTCTGAGGCGAGTAATTTTGCTGTGGTGGAGTCGGCTGCTGTCAAGCATTAACTTCTTAATAATGAAGCCTTTCATACCCTCTGCTGTTGGCACAATGATGCACTTGAAGCTAGTGGCTTGGCGGAGTGTAAGCGGACCACTTCTATTCTTTCCTTGAACAAAATAGTCCTCTTGATCTCTGGGTTGGAGCTATTTTTATTTCAGTTCAGATCTTTTTTGCTTTTTAACTTGGTAGACAAGTCTTTCACTTATATTTTGATCCACTGCTTAATCTGTTGCCTTTTTGCAAAAAGACCTGCAAAAGGCACCCTTCCCAAGATCCAGGCCTAGGAGGCTCCTTTCCAGGGTGCTTGGAACCCTCTCTTGAAAAATGCTGAACTGGGAGCTTGCTTCTCTGATCCCCATACACTTCCTGCGGTTAACACGGCAACGTCGCCTGGACAGCACTAGGGACAATGACACCTACAATTAAAAACCAAGTTAGGATGTATTTTTCCTTGGCAATTCAGATCCACAGAAATATGAGGACAGCTGCTGGTCCTCCTCTCCCCTTCCCACCGTCTCCCTCAAGCTCTAAGCAGAGAAACAAATGGGAACATTTTTGGTCTTTTATTTGATAAAGGAATGTGTTTTAACTGATTTGGCAAGTCCCAAGTGGTTACTTATGGCACAGATGCTGACAGAGGCTATGCCTTGAACCTGACCGAGCTTTGTAAAGCATTGTGAAAATATAAGATATACTATATATTTACATAACAGTATTTACACAGATATATAATATATAATTTATCTATGTCTCGACCCTGAAAACACAAGCGTACCAGAAGTGTTTACTTAATTAAGTATAGCCATTTAAAAAATGCACTATCTTTGAAAGAAATTTATACATAGATTTTCTCATTTTTAAGATTCCCACATACTGTTTTTCATAGCCAAATAATCTGAAAAGCATATTTTTCCAAATGTAAAACAGTATTTATTCCAAAAATTATAGTTAATAAAAATATTTTTTCATTGAAATGCTTCATATAAAGGGCTTAAAGTAGTTGAATGAGAGTGGTTTTAGGGGAATGCAGGGATATGAAAAGGATACCATTAATCTCAGCTCTTTGGGAGACTGAGGCAGGTGGATCTCAAGTTTGAGCCTAGCCTGGGCACCTTATCACCTGGGTGAAATTTTTTAAAAAGAAGTAGGTATGAGATGGGGATTTAGCTCAGCAGCATAAGCGCCTGCCTTGCAAGCAGGCAGTCGTGAGTTCGATCCCCGATACCGATAAAAAGATTAAAAGAGAGAGAGAGAGAGAGAGAGAGAGAGGTATAGCTCAGTGTGAAGGCTCTAGGCTCAATCCCCAGTACTGAAAAAAAAAAATGTGTAACAGTGTGGAGCCCTGCTGTGTGACAGGCATCACAAAGGATGTGTTTTAGGAACCTGCTGTGTTCCTTTTACTTGGCTTCTAGAAAGCACCAGAGGCTCTGAGATGGGTCCCAAGATTGTCTTTGCAACTCAGTGTCCTTTCTTTGGGCTACTGAAGATAACTCATGCCAACTCAAAAGTCCTTCCTGCTCCACTTCTTTATTCCATATATATCATTCTTTTGACCATAACGTAATTTTTGGTGGCCCAAAGGAAGCCCCCATCCTGGAGGTCATTTAAAAAGTAAGAGCAAATCTTGTCACAGCACTGGAGTTCTGATAGTAGTTCAGCTATACCATGCTTTGATGTACATTGGACTTGTTCTCAACCAAAACACAAATGCACAGATCCTACTCACATTGCTGATGCCAAGCAGATTATCATCAATGTGCTTGAGAAGGTGACTTCAAAATATTGTGGCACTTATATTTGTTAAAAATAGTTCTTAGAAATCTTCCACTATTCCCCTAAAAGATAAAACAAAACAAAAAACCTCGATTTTGTTATTCTGGTCATTATTCCTCCCAACTGTGCCATCTTAAATTTGATAATCTTGCTTGCTGTGTTATCAAAGAGGACAGACATGAACAATTGCAGAACTGGAAACTGCACTTTGGAGAATATTGTAGATGTATATCAGCCCCTGTGAGTATGTCTGTTCCATCACCTACAAAATCCAACAATGACAGGAGTTCCTATTTTGTCAGCTGAGATATTACAAATTGCAATGTTTTATTAAAACCATGGCACTCTGATTTTTGAAACACAGCCAACAGGAATAGTGTTTCTGTATTTTACATTTGCAGATGAATAGTATGTGTCACATATAATTTTACCACGATATGACCTAGGACTCACATGTACTATCATTATAATATTTTTGTAGAAGCAAGACTTCTAGATCTAGCATAATAAAATGAAGTTAGATTAATGTGGCACGAAAGGATTAATAAGCATAATGGCACAGTTATGGTATATTCTATAGAAATGGGACCTGAATAGGTGATTTTCGTCATAGCTTTACCTGTACCATGAATTAAGTCATGCTAAAGGTCTGCCTTCATTTTTCATTAGATTTTCCTTTGCCTCCTTCATAACCTTACATGACTGACATTTTTGAGTTGTACATATTTGAATTTTTGAAGGTTTACTAACAATGTTCTTCAATTCAGTATTCCTTTGCCTTGCTTTGCCTTTTGGTCTACATCTAAAATAATTCAGTATCTAATAAGTACTTAATAGCCTTGAGGACATCAAGTGAGGCTACTGCTCTGGATTAAAGGGCTCAGGAACCTGGGGAAGCTACCACATTCTCTGGCTGTGTTAATTAGCCACGCTTGTAGCTAAATAAGTCTCCAGAGATATTTTACCAGGATCACAGAGGTGATTTGTAATGCTGAGTGTGGAAAAAAGCAACATGTAGGCTTTATGAATCTCACAGAAAAAAACTCTGCCTTCTTCACAGAATCATTCTCCTTATAATTTAGAATTTTTCCTTGAAACCAGAACAATGGAACACAGAAATCAAACATCTGTAATTCAAAGTGAATTATGGAAATGCATTTCTTTTTTTACAACTTATGTAATTCAATTCAGTGTCCTTATCCTTCAACAAAACCCTCCCTACTATTAGCTGAAAGTAGGAGTTCATAATCATTTTTAAAAATTCTGTATATGTCACCCATGGAATTTATTTTCTCTTTAATACTATCTTTTCCCCCAGGGACTCATTATTCATTTACACATCTAGAGACTAAATAAAATGCCATTAACGGGGGGAGAAATGCTGTCTCCAATTCATAGCACCAGGACATTTTTTTTTCTCAAAAACAGAAACAAAAAACAAAAGAAAACAAAACAAAAAACCCCCTAAGCATTCGGAAACAGAATACTTTAAAAGGAAAAGATCAGAACTTGTTTTTCAGTGAGTTGAGAACAACAGGCACCATTGTAGCCCAAAGCAGGAGTCTTACAAACAGTGGGGGAGGAGGAGGGAATAACACACTATTACATATGATTTAGATTAAAAATTTGCAGGTTCCAGATGGATTCAACTTCTATCTTAGTATGTGTACCTATTTTCATAATCATGATCCTTAAAAGAGAGACCTTAGTGCTTTGAGACCTTAAAAAACATTGGTACTGATCTTTTTGACTAGCAAAGGAGGGGTATTCCTACAACCACCGTTGATCTGTGGCCTAATTGGCACCATAGAGCAAATTCTTCCAAGCATACTCTTGGTTGAAGAAAATAGAGCACGATCTGATTTCATCAAAAGAGTATGGATATAGCTTGTTATAAAAGGACAGTATGACTTTGGTCCATGTCTAGGATCCATTTCAAAAGACAGACATTCCTGATTTGTAAACATTAATCTTGCAAGTGTCTAAGGAGTGCGAATTATTGACTTACCCTATGTTGGGCTGGCTATGCTCAGTTTTCTCCTTTGTAAAATAGGGATAATGTATTCTTCAGGTATTATTTGTTAGGAATAAATATGTTCACATAGATACAGTGTAGAAAAACTTTGTCTAACACAATATAAATATTCCCTAAATGCTAGATATTACTATTATTAACATTGTCTCTGGCTCTTTATGAAAAAATTTTTAATGCTTTTTGTCAGAGTACAGAAAAACTGAGTCCTCAAAAAGCTAAATTTGCTCCAAGAACAATCAATGGACTTGTGAGCAAATAGGCAGTCCAATCTAGAGCAGCATTAGCCCAAAGGATTACAGTATAAGATACATACATAACCTTAAATTTTTTAATAAGCATGCTAACAGGAAAGTAAATTTAAATTGATGTAATTAACTTTTAATAATATATTTTAGCTAAATATATCCCAAATACTATCACTTGAACATGTAATAATACAAAATCATTAATAAAATATTTTGCACTGCATTTTAAAAACTAAATCTTTAAAGCATTCTGTGTATTTTGCACTTATAGCGCATCTCAGTTTGGGTGAACCACGTTCCAGGTGGCCCTGTGCGGCTGGTGTCTGCCCGTCTTGAGTCTACATTCTCAATGTCTAGGCTGTGCCACAAGTGATATCTCTTATCAGGTAGTCTTACTTCTCCCTTGCATTGGTTCTGAAGGTGGGAACCATCGTGGGGAAGGGGATTACAGTGTAGTTTCTCGGAGACCTGAGAGAGCCGGATCTTGTGTGTCCTCCTTAAGCTCTCTGTGACTCCCCCGAGAGCCAGAGTGAGAGTGCTCCAAGCCTTTGGGACAATAGAGGTCTTGGGATGTGGCTGTGCAGTGTGCCTAGGTACCCTTCCCCCATCCTTCTGGCTGTTTCAGGGAGAGGCATGGGCAAGATCTGTTTCAGGGAGAGGCATGGGCAAGATCTGCAGCAGGCATGTTGTGGAACAGCTCTGCACCAGCAGAAGAGTGTTGTGGGCAGAGAACAATGCGAGGTATCTTTAGCACTGTCCAGCACATAAAAGGCAGAGAGCCCTTGCTGGCGCTGTGAGTGGCATGTGTTTTCTTTGCCTGTTCTTTCTGAGTCAGCCCTTTGTTGGGGGCTGCAGGCTCAGTTTCTCTTTCATTTCATTACCTTTTTGATAAGGATAAACTCATTCATGGTTCACTTTCTGGACAAATTCTAGGTTGGATGTCCCTATTCCCTGAGGTCTTTCTTCTGAAGAAAAGAGCTATGAGGCAGAGAATGCTCTAATAAACAAGGTGGACTTCAGAGGACAGGAGGGTAGCAGTGACCTGGAGATCAGTCCGCCCCCATGTTCAGTGTCCTGCATACCTAGAATTGACTGGCTCCAGCTATGAATCACAGGGGTTCAGCTGCACAAAATGGGACCCTTCTTTATGGGTAGATCACTACTACACACCTGCCAGGCACACATTCCTCTTCTCTGACATTGTTTCAGAAATTGCAGTCCCACCCACCCCACTTTCACAGTTGGGCTCAGTAGTGCAGAGGGAAGATGAGAAAGGAAAGAGAAGGATGTGGGAGCAGGGCTGTCAATAAACATTGCTATATTTGTATCTTTCAGAAGACATTTTCCTACAGATATCTTAGGTCAAGGTATTTTGCACTTCTTACACTAGATTTCCCAAGAAGAAAAACAATTAAATTAATGTATTATGACTTTGAAAATAAACCTGGAAAGGTTTACAAATGGTGAACCCGCATACCCAATGACCCAGCACTTCTAGGTCTACATTAATACATATATTATATATATATAAACCAAATGAACATATGTGCCTTTGTTTGCCTAAAGACATATACCAGAATGTTCATAGAGGCACTATTTTTAGTAGTAAGAAAGTGGAAGCAACCCAAATGTTATCTGCAGGACACTATGTGGTCACACAATATGTAGTATGTGCATTATATACATATATAGCACAACAGTAAGAATGAATAACCTACAAGAATATTGATTATTCTCTCAGAGATAATGTTATGTAAAATAAGATCGACACAAAAGAATATATATCATTTCACTTACAAAAGTTAAAAAATAGACAAAAATAACCTATATTTACTTACTTTATATTTCAACCCACAATGCACAGTATGTAACTGAAAGAATGATTAAACAATTCTTATTCTTACTATATCTAGAACACTATGATTTTCTCCTATTCAATCAAAGTCCAGCGGTGACTCACTAAATGAATTTTATAATCATTAATGGAACGTGGCCTATAATTTGGAAAACACTAATATTAATGCTGGTCAGGCTTCTGGAATAGTTCATATTATCTAATATCTCTAAGCCATGGTTTCTGCCTCCATATAACAAGGAAAATAGCAGTATACTTTTCAGAGGATATGCATGCGATTGGGAGATTTAAGGCACATTAAGCTCTTAGCATAATGAGGCACACAAACATGTGCATACATACACGCTTTCATTAATAATTTTATTTCCAAACACATTCAGGGCTTTCCTGGCAAATGAGTCTTTTAAATCCTTACACTAAATACAGAATGATAATGAGAAGTAATCTTTTAGGTGAGATTTAGGTGACTCACTGCTCTGGATAAGCTAAGTTCCATGTTGACTAGGACTTCTGTCATTTCCACCTAAGGGAGGCTTCTTGAGTTGTTTCTGCATTCCCACGCCATGCTCCAAGAGTATTTTCTTGTGTTCTCTGACCTTTTTGGCAAAGCCTGAGATCATCTGGGCATGTACAGTACAACTGTACTTGCACAATCCTTGTTTTTAAAAAGTCATCTTAGCTTGGAAAATGTTGGCCACTACTAAGAGCTAGCCCTCCTACTTGGCCATGGGGTCTGACCAGCCCCCACTGCTTCCTCCAACAACAGGGGCTTTATGCTCTCATGCAAAAAGACCAGCTGTCAGCTTAAATTTCCCTAATCCAGCCAGATCTCAACTCGGCCAATCAACAGTCGCTATCTGGGGGAAGCCCATCTGTGAAATGCAGCAGTGCCCTTACTGGAATGACATGTCATAAAAATTAGTTTGGGCACTAATCTAAGGAAGCTTTGTACTGAGTGGAGGGACTGCAAGGTCGTCCTCTTTGCCAAAGAGCTGGATCAGATGAGAAGTGCAGGGCTTAAAAATACAGCAAGTTCTTCCACCTCCTGCCTGCCCCCTCCAGCCCCATGTGATACTGTCCAGGGATGAGGGAACAGTCTTACACACTCCAAGTTCTTTCCTCTAGGCAGCTGGTTGCCACCAGAAGGGCTAGAAACACAGATAGGTGGAAATACAGTGCTCTCAGTTCCTCCCCTTTGCCCCTCAGTGTATGTGTGAATTCTTTAACTCTATGATTACATTGTTAACTCATAGCTCAATTTACAAAAAGGAAAAGAAATTATTCCTAAAAATCTTCTGCTGCAAGGTTGCCCTCTTATCTTTAGAGAAACAGAAGATATTTTTTTGAATTGATAGGAAAAATAAAGAATTCAGACTTGCATTTTATTTTACATTATTATTATTATTATTTTGTATTATAGTGGCAGAAGGGACTTCTTTCTTCAGAGCTCCTGTCCTGATCTGTTTGCTTTCTCATGGGTAGTGCCTTGTTCTCCTTGGCAGTGAGCAGAAACTGACCTTCAGGTGGGAACTTGCTCCCCTCCAAGGATTGCTGGGCATGGTTGAAAATATGAAGAGGCCTAAAATACAGCTCTTCCTTCAAGAATCCTGAAATTTAGTGGGTCCCAGCTGACCATAACCTGTGGCCATAACTTACGTTCCAAATCTTTTTCACCAGCCTGAGTTATATGGATATACTTTAGAACTGGCATAAACAACAGCGTGCCTTTCTGGTTTTTTCGCTCCCCACCCCAAGTCTTATCTTAAACTCCTTGGGAAGAGGCCTATATATGATTTCTAGTTCAAAGGGATCCAGTATACTTATCTCAGTGATAAATAATGAAAGAGTTATCAGAGTATATGGGTTTAATTTCTTGTGATTATATCTGTGTCAATCAAGCCAGGCCCAGTTGTGAACTGAAAAATAAAGAGACAAGAGATCTATCACTGGATGTTGTGCACAGAAAGTATTTGAAAAATATCAAATCAGTAAGTGTTGGTTCCTGTTGGTTGTATTGATCTTTACTACTTATATTACAGTCCTGATGCAGCTGTAAAATCAAAAGGAGGTTCAAAATGGCCAAAACACACAGCCAGGTGATTCAGAGGCAGCAGGCTGAGCTGCCTGGGTACAGGGAGTGGCATGGTCAGAACTAGTGGTAGGAGACACGCTGGACAGAGAAGAGAGCCTGCAGGGGCTGGAACTTCTCTGGTTCCAACCATGTAAGGAGACCCTTGAGAGCAGAGTGCTGTGAAGGTGCTGGGGTTGGTTTCTCATTTAATTCTGCATGGACTGATGTTAACTATTAATATCCATATAGAGACAGCTACTAGAAAGCAAGGGAACACTCAGCAAAGCTTTTCTATTTTTATTGTCCTTATCCTAGACCTATATTATGAAAGCACAAATACCAGCTAAGCCAAATAAATTTTAAAAATAGGAATTCCCTATAAAAATGGAGAATTCTGAACTTTGTGCATGTTCTCTGAGAGTCACTAAAAAATATGATCCAAATCATGAAAATGAAGAAAAAAGATTATTATACTTTTTGTTTGTTTGAGACAAGGTCTTGCTATGTGACCCAGGCTGATAAGGAACCCACTATGAAGCATAAATTGGCCTCAAACTCTCAGTGATCCTCTTCCTTCAGCCTCCCAAGTGCTGGTTTACAGGTATATATACTGCATGTGACTGCTGTATTTTTTTTAAAAAAAAATATGCTTAAGAGTCATCTGAGAGTCTAGGGAAAGGTAACATTGTCTTACTAATTAGGGAATAGGCTTTGTAAAGTTAGATAATATGCTGAAGAAAAGTGTTACATTGAAACTGATTTCTATCCAAATAAAGAGAAAAAGATAGCCTCAGTGGTTATGGTTTAATTCCCCGATATTACTGTAATGTGTTTGATGTCTAAATTTACAATCTTATTTCAGGGTTTTTAAAACACTGATGATGACATGTTGAGACTTAGGTGGCTGCACAAGAAGGCAATTTGCCCACCCTCTTGGTAAGAGCCCCTGGTGCCAGCCGGGAGGAGAACCAGTCAGCTGTTCCTGTGAGCCTACTGGTGGGCAGGCTAAGAATCAAATATCTCCCCTCCCCTCTGTCCCCAAGTGGAGACAGGGTTCTGAGCATCTCTTTGGAGGATGATCATATGCAATATAGCAAATATGAGGGATTTCCTTCTATATTCTGTTTGAAGGCAAAGATTATTTTCACTGTTATGTTTTGTAATGATTGTTATGCTCTATTCAATATTCTCCTTCAATTAGTTTTACAATGGTCTGTTATTGGTTTGATTTTGCTATATCTAATTGACTGGACAACTACTGTGAAGATAATGAGATATACCACAGTACCCATTACTACTGTACCAGTATCCTGCTTTGAAGTTCGTACCAACATCACTACATTGTCTCAATTGGCTTTGTTTTACATTGTTCTGTTGTATTTTTACTACATTATAAATAAAATTTCAAAAAAGTAAAAAAGTAAAAAACTGATGATGATAAATATGTATACATATAAACATACATATATTCATTTTTCATACATTGCTTTGGGCCAGTTTTGTCATTTTGCTGGTCTTTTCATTGGTAAATTTAATAAATCTTTGACACATGCTTACTGTATATTTGTATAAGAGTTAAGATTTTAACTATTTGAAAACTTTACTTTGGCAAATCTTAGAATCCTGATGGTATAATAGATCTAATTTATCAATTAATAAATACATTGCAATGTACTTTGGTAATACTAAGGACCTGAAAGTATGTCAATTAGCATCTATAATTTTATGCAATGTATTTTATACATGTACTGGACCATTAAGGGGTAGTAACCAAGAGGAACTGACACTTTTTAAACCACTCAGCAAATTTTAAATATCGTTAGCAGCAGACAACAGAACCACGTATATTTCTAATTGGCAAGAACTGTTCTGTTCTGCAGAGTTGGTCTTGCCTTGTGCCCGTGCAATTGTGAAATACTTGCAAGCCTTCAAGTCAAAAAGCATTTCAAACAGAAAGAGGAACTGTTTAAAAAATATATGTCCTTGGGGAAAGATTTTTCCCTTCTCCCTGCTCTACAAGGACTTATAATTCATTTCAGCTGCTATTTTCAAAGCACTATCTTTTTTTTTTTTTTTGTAATTAGCAATGGAAAATTGAGACTTAAAGGGAAAAATAGGGGCAAAAGTCATTTTTCCCTTGATGAGGCCTAACCAACTAATTTTCACAGTGTTTAAGGTAGAACAGTATTTTGTTATCTGCCGATATTTTGTGAGGATTCTGAACATTTGAGTTAAGGTTTTTCCTAAAAATAACATAAAATCAGTTGATAGATTAATTCCAGTTGGTTTGAGAGATCTATGAGACATTTGAACCGAGCAAGGCTTAGAAAATATTTTCCTGTTTCTAGTTATTCTTTCCTTATAGAGCATGGCATATCTTTTATAGTATAACACTAGTACATAATACAAATTTAAATTTGCCACACATACAAATGAGGATTATCAAATTCCTTCTACATAGAAGACATTGGATATAAACTACTAAGATAGTCTCCATCCCAAAAGATCTTACAATTTAGTTGGAGACTCAATAACCAAATAACATCCCTTTATAAAAGGACATAAGTACATATTTTGATATGATTAGAGTTTGATTTCTATTTTAGCAGATCTTCATAGTATTTGTTGTATAACCATATAAACTATAGGGTGGATTCTCTTATTTGGGGAGATATGATACAATAGTACCTGAGTGTGTGTGTGTGTGTGTGTGATTTAAATATTTTTAAATGGAATTGATTTCTCATAAGGATATTTGGAAGATAAACACCAAAAGTGCAAAAGGAATAGGCTGAAACTAGTTAATCATCCTATTTGCTCATTAGCAACCATGTCCCAGAAAGTGATGGATCTTGTGACAGAGGCAGAACACCAGCTGAGTGCTTGGCACAGACGGGGCATTAAATATGTATTCACTGAAATGGATTAAAAATATATCAGCAGTGAACCTTGAGTTCAGAGCTTACCATTCAGGAGCAGAGCTGCACTATACATTCAAATAATTATTAGTCAAATAATTATAACTTAACAGAGAAAATGGTTTGCATGAAAATGATACAGGAAGTGGGAAGGGAGAGCACAGCACAGTCAAAGATTTCTTCAACTAGAGGCACAGACTGCACTTGGGAACAAAATGGCATGTGAGTTAGAAATGTCAGGATGAGCACAATGTTGACTTACGTGTATGCAGATGAAGATCACAAACCAATGCTCAGAGGTAGGAAAATGTTAGATCTGAATAGGAAAACTCACTTTAAACATCAAGATAAGACATAGAAAGGAGTTTCTAGAGGCACAGTAAATTTGAATAATGATGTTCTTAATATCACATAAAGAGTTTGAACCCAAAGCTGTAGAAAAGAACACATTACTGAAGATTGTTTCTGTCTTTGAATGATGTTAATCGAGCAGATAAAAAGTTTGTATTCTATGTTGAATTTCTCTAAGCATCCCTTTAAAAATAGTTACCTTGGTTTATTTTGTAATTCTATAGTTTCTATATTCTTAAGACTCTCTTGGGTTTCCTACTTACATATGTTCTGCTCGTGAGAGATTTCTCACTTATCTTTTCAAGAAATGAAAGTATGAGGGTTTGCAGTCATTTCTACCTCTGAGATGAGAAATTTCATCTCTGGCATGGCCCTTTACAGTGATTCCTCTGGTCAGAAGTAGTTCCTCAGGGAAAAAAGTTCAATTACTTTTTCCCCATGGCTGCTTCACTGGGACCTTTACCTCCAACATGCTGGAGACCTTTTGATGCTCTCCAGTCACTGTGACACTTTGATTTATTCTCCTGCTATCAAAGCTCATTTTCCCCAACCTAAAGAAAAGAAATGTCAGTTATTAATTTAATAATTTGGCAACAGCTGCATAAATATTAAATATCTGGTCTTTGCTGAGCATTCACCATGTCATAGGTTGCTGACACAATATAATCAACAAAACTGAGGCAGAATGTGTAACCATCATCCCCATTTACCAAGGAGAAGAGCAAGGCTCTGAGATTGCTGGAACTTACAGTCAGTGAAGAGGGAAGCAGTAGCTTGGTCATGACATCTTAATGTCATAGCCTAGAAGGGTTGCCTCTCTACAGAGAGTTCTTTCAAGTGTTGTCTTTAACCTTTCCACCCCTAGTTAAGTTCACAGAGCAGTGGATTGCATAGTTATAACACTGGTCTGGATCTTGGCCCGGCTTCTTATCTGGTGGCCAGTTATTGGCTACTTCTTAGGAATATCTTTCTAGGACTTTGTTTGCACCATTTCAGAAACAGAGGTCTATGGACTTTCCAGAAGGCTCTAATCCCAGAGCGTAGAGATTTCAACTCAAGGCCAGAATTTGTCTTTTCACTATTAACTTACTCTGCCCCATTAATACTAGCTTTGGAGGCCTTTAAAATCTGAAAACATATGTTAAACCTTTTCCCAGAGCATGTAACCTATTCATATTTTTAAGTGATTTTATCTTTCTTTCTTTCTTTGCTTCTTTTTTTATTTTAAAGAGGATAAAACAGAATAAAACCAATAAAAACAAACCAATGTAAGAGATACAGGATTTCAAAACATTATGAAATCATCAATAGTTACCATAATGCCTTTTGATATCTTTAAAATACCTGCAGATAACTTCAGACATGGTAAAAATAAAAAAGAACAGAATAGAATAGAAACAATAAAAACAAAACAGTGAATGCAATAAAGGACTTCAAAACAAGCCAGTAGTAAATCCAAAATGACTACCATAATATATCTTCTTATTTTTGAAATGGCTGCTCCTGCCATCAGATTTGACATAATCAAACAAAACAAAAAAGAATAAAACTCAACTCAACAAAACAATGGAAATGATATAGGACTTCAAAACAAAACCATAGGAATCAACAATAGCTGCAACCCTCAGAAAGAGATCCCCCTAGATGTCACACTGCATACCATTAGCCTCTGAACCTATGAACAGACCACTGGTCCTAGCCCTGCCATGTTAGCAAAATACCAAAGCGTCACAGGCATCCAATTGCATTTCACCTCCATAGCTATCGTCACAGCCTGTGATTCTCCAGATAATCTGCTTGTTCATGGTGTCTGTGTGTGTGTGTGTGGTATTTCTTGTTTGCCAACCCAGCCCATGTATGGGAAGGGGCCAGGGTCTGTCTGTTCCAGTTCAGCAGTGGCCTGTGCATGGCACTGTTTCCCAGATTGTGCTTTCTTGCTGGTGTATCAATCTGTCCTTTCTTTGTTGTTGATTATTTTCTCAGACTCAATCCCTAAATCACCTGGAATTTCACCATTTCTTAACAACTATATTCTTATTTATCTAATTTCCATATGTCTAATATTTATGCTCAGAAATTATTATAATTATTCTATTTGTGAATAGAATAATTATAACTGCATAGAAAGAAGGATCTGTCTCTACAACTGTAGCTATTGATAGTAAACCTCACTTTTCTTGAGGCCTCTCAGTATTATTACTTCAAGGTTTTGTTGCTCTACTTACCACTCTGTTGTTAAAATAGGATGCTGTTTATTTAGATTTACTACTGAACTAACTAAATATCTCCACATGGGATGCCTCCATAGCCTTATACAGAAGAGAAAGCATATTGAGTTAACCAGCTAAGACTTCTCACTCACAAAGAAAATGTAAGATAAGAGGAAAAACATAGAAGTATTTTCCCTAAAATAAAAGCAGGTGAAAAAATTGTTTTTTAGCAGTCCTGAAGGATTAGCAGTCTCCTGCTCTGTGCCAGGAAGTTTCTCCTCATTATATAACACATTTAAACCAATTAGGGTAGGCCTAGCTTGATCCCATGAGGTTATGGGCCCAAGATAGCAGAATATTTATGCTGTGCATATTCACCCTCAAGGAAAGTCTCTTGCTGTATTCAGACTTTCTACGTCCTTCACTCAGCTTATTACTCAAATATACTTTCTTCATTCCTTAACGAAGAATATTTCAGTGTCTATTTTGTGCCAGAAGTGTTTTGCCAAGCTTCAGGACTGTCAGGCCACCTTCTCCTTGAGTGTAGCCTCATGGGATCATAGAAGGCTGAAATCCTACCTCAATAGGATGAGGAAAAAAAGATCAGAAAATAAATTTCTGATTGAAAGAAAGAGAATAAAAGTATTGAGAATAAAAGGTTGTTTTCCTTTCATTACAGTACTTTTAATGCCTAAATATTTGCACAGCATTTTTATAGCCTGCAAAGGACTTTTGTGAACACTGATGTTAAAAACTCACTTGTAGGGTTTGGATGGTTTAAGTGGATCTTCCTCAAAATGTATCCCAGGGCCAGGCACAGAAGCAGATTTCAGTGAGCGATTTTCAATCCCATGCTCCCACGTACGCATATGTAAGTTACTCCCTCCTGATCTATACTTGGGGTTCTTTCTACTCTCTCTTCTCCTTGCCCAGCACTGTTATTAGCTAAAGCACTTGGCTACGTGTCTTGCATAAGTGTCAGGCTGAGTTTAGAGGACTTAGACACAGGGACAATGCCATGCTACCTAGCCACATCACTCCTTGAAGCCACAGAAGAGGAGATTTTGTTTTCTTTTATAAAATAAGAAGTTTAGTAAAGATACAAAGTTGTTAGCTGGAGCAAAAATAGAGAACTGAAAGAACTTCGTGGAGGGACAATAGTTTCATAATGATTAAGGTTTCAGAAATATCCAGACAGATTTAAACAAAGCCAATAAAGTGTCTTCTGAAGTATGTACTTCATTAATGTATCTTCTTCAAAAGTACCCTTCCCAGAAGACTTGAAATTTATTTTCACTTATAGTGTTTATTCCAATTGCAAGTTTGGTAGTTAAAAACACTATTATATTCTCATGAGCAGAACATAAATAGCAAGAACAACTGTCTGGCATTTTGGCCCCTGGAAGAAAGCAAGACAACAAGCCATTAAGGCATCCATATTAGAAGAGGCTCTGCAGATCTCTAAAGAGTTCAGTCCCGAGTTCTGACCTCGTGGTAAGATTATTAATGGCCACTTGCTTTTGCTCATTAGAAAACTTCAATATTCTGATCTTTAGTTCTCCTAAATATCTATGGAAACCTCCTTGAGTGGTAACTTAAGATACCCAAAATGTGGGATAAATATTGGCAGAAAAATATAAGAAATAACTAGATACTTAAACTTAGACATTTTCCTATAAAAGCTTGGAACAGTCATCTAGCCTCTCTTAATCTTTTTCTAACTTCAATAAAAAGATTTTTAAATTGGACCATTTGTCTTTTCAAATGGATGCCATAGGAATAGAATTAGTAAAAATAAAATACTTACAAACATTAAATGATCTATTCACAACCTGTATATCAATTTTACTTAAGATGCTCACTTTTCCTTTTTTGACCCCATGTCAGCATTGAGTAAAAAAGTGACCAATAAGGAAAAATTGGAAAAAACCATGAAAAAGATAGTTCCAGATCTGAGAGAATCTGAATAAGTTCAAGGAACAAATTGAAAAGATATTAATCACTCATTTTTGCCAGCTTTCTTTTTCCTCTTCTGCTTGATTTTGATGGACATCTGAGTGAATGAAACAATAGTATATTCTGTGGCTGAAAACATTGTGAAAATACTGCACTTCTTTAGCCTTCCATTTAAGAAGCAGAACGAAGAAGTACAGATGAACTTAGAAGAGTAACTTATATGAGAAAATGTAAGCAAAGCAATTCAGAATCTCAAAGGGGCCCTTTAGTGTCTGTACACACACACACACACACACACAATGACCCCCACCATGTGCAAATACTTTTGTAAGCATGGAGGATACACACTACTAAATGAAAAATAAATTCCCTCTTTCAGAGATTTTATATTCTAGTCAGTGAAGAAGTAGTGAAATCAGAAAACAAATTATGATAAATTCAAGTAATGATATATGCTTTGGAAAAAATTCAAGACAACCAAGTAGAGTAGTTAAAGAGATAAAAATGAAGACTAGAGCTGGTGATTTTAGGCTACTAATCAGACAAGATCTCTCTGAGAATTTGGTATTCTAACTGAAATATAAATATTCAGAAGCAACTACTAGGGCAAAAGCTGGAAAAAGACTCAAAGATGAGTAGCTTGAGAAAGATCTTAAGAAAATGAGGTAATACTGGTAGCCAGGATCCAAATAATATGCAGTGCTTTCCCCTATGAATTGGGGATTTATCCTAGAATTTTGATTTGTGGATAAATGTCTTTCCTTAACTGGGACATAGCTTAGCTATTATCTCTGAAAACACTATTTATTTTTCATATTCTCTCCTACCCTTCTTTGACACCAATCTCATGTATATTAGACCACTTGATAATGTCTCATACATCTAGGACATTCTATTTAGTGGTTTTATTCAGTCTTTTTTTTTTCACTTCATGGTAAATTGCATAATTTCTACTGACTTTCTTCAAATTCATTTCTTTTGTGTATTTAGTCATAGAGTTAAACACACTGAATGAATACTTTATTTCTACACTGTAGTTTTCAGCTCTATAATTTTTACTTGGTCAATTTGTAGCATGTCTACTTCTGTGCATTTAACACAAAGTAACAAACTCAGTATATCTGCTGAGCAAATAAATTAGTTTTGCTACTGTGTCAAAGAGAAGGATTTTTTAAAGTGATAGTCACATTATGAAAGTTCAGTTTATCACATAGTAGGCTATTCTTCCACTGAGACAACAATATCAACTGATAGAAATCTTTATTTGAAAGTTTTTCATAACTAACTTTCTTTTAGGGATAGTTAAATGTTATAAACCACTCACATGTAATTGGTGCTTTTATACTTGGTGAGCTCCCTCTGGAAGCTTGTAGAAAGATTAGGTCCATAGGCACATGAACATTAATGTCCTTTTCTCAATAATGCAGAGCTATAACAGCCATAATAAATGTTTCCCTTGGTGAATAACTTGAATAAAACCAGATTGTCTTTGGTTCAGTTTTATCCAAGGCTAAAGAAGATAAATTGTTCCACTGGCAAGACACGGAATATGCCCCTTGGAACAGATTGCACATGATTTAAATTCCTTCTCTCTAGAGAATAGCTTTGGCAAGACTCTCCACATGCAGAGATAAAAGGGTGATGCAGATTTTACCTGGAGAAGAAAGTCCCAGAAGTCTATCCTGAGAACAATAATGAGCTAGGAATCCCAGAATGTAACAATTCAGTAGAAAAATAAAAGTAAAAAAGAGAAATCTCAAGGAGTCCATTAAATGTTTCTGGGACAGACAAAATAAAATAGCAAGCCAGGCTGTGGAGTTACAGAACAAGAAAAGCATGAAGGCACATTTCCCAGAAAACACTGAACTCTCACGTAAACTCAAAAGAGAGTGATGTTTCTGGTAAGAGGATTGTATGTAGAGTTATAATCACTAGTATGTTTTATTGTGTTAACTATCATCAAGGTCAAATAAAATGCCATCTGCTGCCTTAAGTATGATTAAGTAGATAAAACCCAAGACATTTTATTAAAGTGCAACATGTTGACATACGTTATAGTTTTTACACACACATGCACATGTGCACACCTATGTACAAATGCACATGCACCTACACAGACTCAAAGGGGTGCTGCATTTTCATTTCTCAACAGAAAGAAACTTAGACTTTTGTATGCAATGGTAGTTTCTAAACATAGTGTGGAGAGACAGAAATCTGAATTTGGCTTCTGGTGAGGGTTGTAGAGGGTGTAATTAGTTCATCGCACAAGCTGGCATATGCTGACCTTTTCGATCCCAGCTGAGCCTGTGGCCTCTTTTGCTGAGTGCCTCCCTTTTTGCAAATTGCAATAAGAACTTTTGTTTCAAGATGCTTTATAAACTTTATTTCTTGGTGCTCTTAAGGAGAGGCCTGTGTCAGTCTTTGCTGACTGGAAGGAACTGACCTGCTTAAGGTTTCACGGGAATTAGTGCCCAAACAGGAATTGTGACTTTGTGCCTTTGGATCAGCTCCCAGGCACAGGCTGCAGAAGCACCAGGCAGAACTGATTCTGCTTCTGTTCGGCCTCTGCAGAGCTCACCCACTCTGAGCCCTCTTTGTTTTCTTTCTTCTTCTTCTTTTTTTAATCTGTGAGTTTTGGTTTTACTTTCTGTGACCTCAACATAACCATATTTATGATATTTTTGATATTAGGTATATTTGTCTTCTTTAGTATTTTCGGAAGTTCATTTTTAAAGTTACAGAATGTATACATACCAGAACTTACAGAAGTTACACAGCTGGGTAAATTCTGCTCCTGTTTATATATCCTTGAAACTGTCTCACAGAGGTCCACGAAGAACACATATAAGAGCAAGAATGCCTTTTGTTCTTGTTTGTTTTTAATGACTAGGATGGGGTGTGGAATGCAATACTTTTTCTTTACTAGATACCTTTTAGATCATTCGTTTATTCACTCAAGAGAAAATAAAAGAGAAAAGAAGAGGAGAAGAGAAGAGAGAAGAGAAAAGAGGAAGAAAAACCAAGGCATGCTATGATTTGTCAACTGTGACTTAGCCAAACCATCAATTATCCTGCAGTGTTCACTGTGGAAACCCCATTCATGCCTTCTCAGGCCTTACTAGTGGGACGCTTTTTACTGACCTGCAAATGTGAGTGTTTGAATCTCTTCCACTGGAGACTTCCTTAGAGGGCTGGAACCCATTCTGCCCAAAGCAGGCTGGAAGCACTGAAGAACTGCTGGGCACCGGTGGCAGCAATCTGCAGTGACGATTCCCTTGCCCCCAGGCGGAGCAAGCCCCAGCTGCTGTGCAGCCGCTCCCCACACTCCCAGCGGGCTGAGCCCTCCTTGTCCACAGTGGGAGCATCCTTCATTGGCTGCTTTGCCTTCCTCATCTCACTTCCTCCTGCCATTAACATTTATTTTCCCTCCAAGCAACTACATGTGTTAGAATCCTGTTCCAGGATCTGCTTTACAAGCAGCCCATAGCAAGACAGCACATTTCTCAGGGAATTATTGCTTATGTATTTAGTGTGCACTCTAAAAAAGGATTTCAGAAGAATTCCAAAAAAGTTAAACAAAGAAGAGTTCATGTTGTCAAGAAGCTCTCAGACTAGGGACTCTTTTTACTAGGAAAGGAAAGAAAGGGAATACTTGAATGCTTAATAAGTACTCAGCTTATTAGACTGACCCATAGGAAATGACTGATGTTATGCTTTGGATCTAGGATGTCCCTGAAAGTTCATGCCTTACAGGTATGGACTTTGGACTGTATTGGACTGTGACTGAACTGTGAACGTTCTTACCTCATTTGCTATTAGGATGTAGTGGAAACATTAGTATGTGGGCCCTGATGGAGGAAACAGTTCCCCGGATGCAGAACATTGAAGGGTATATTCTTTTTCCTCTCTCTTCTTTCTCCTCTTCCTCCCTTTCTGGCCACCATGAGGTAGATATCTCTTCCTCACCATCTATGCCGTGACGCTCTCCCTCATCACAGGCCAAAAAACAGTGGAGCCAAGTGACCTGGGACTGAAAGCCTAAGTAAGTAAGTCTTTTCTCTGTTTAAGTTGTTTTTCTCAGTATTTTGTCAAACTAAATGTTGGTCATTTTTGATCTGTAAAAATTTCAGTTTCATTTGGTTTATTGTAGTACATGGCAGTTTTCATTAATGTTTTCGCTTCCATTTAATGTTACCAAATTCTTGCCGATGGACAGAAGAATTTGCCAACTTTTGCCTAATGTGCCACCTAGCAATACAGAAGAGGAAAGAAGGTTTCTAACCTGTCTGTCCAAGTGCATGTTTGAGAGTGAGACATCATTTCTGCTCATCCCTCATTAGGCAGAACTTAATCCCACGCCTAAGGGGCTCTTAAAATGTCAACTTTATTTCAGACAGTCATGTGTCCCACTGTAGTAAAGGACACTTTTTTGGCCCTTGAAGCAGAAGACTAACTTTGTCATCAAGGTGTCCATATTTATTCTTTAGACTATTTATATTGATAAATTATTATGTTTTGAATTTTATTATATTAAACTATGAGTACTTAATACCAAAAAATTGAATTTTAAATATTTATTGAGTGTTTATAAGAAGCATCAAAATTGTCAACATCAACTGTTTACTTCCTTATAAAATCTAAAAGATAACATCAAAAATAAAAGCCTATGTGAACTACAATGTAAACACAAACAAAAGTCTACTACAGAAATAGGCTTTGCTTCAACTGTCACACTCAAGGCAACTTTATGTTTCATACACAAGTGTCACTTACACTGATAGCGCATATATTTTGTCTTCCTGTACTTTCTTGTACAGAACCGTTGACATCTTTTTTGGTTTTCCTGTCATAGTAATTCTTTGTGATGCTGCACCTGCCTGTTCAACTGTCAGTTCACCACTATGCTCCACAATTTTTTTTCTGTAGTTCCTGGGCAAAATATTTTGTTTTTCCTCTGTTGTAAATGACTTCAGTCCCAATTTTCTAAGAAAATTTCTCTGTGATATTTTTCACCTGTTAATTCTTTGTAAACTATCAAACTACTTATGCCACACATGTTTAGGGCCAAGTAAAACATCATCATTGGCCAATGCTTTGTGTTTTGAGTGACATCATAGCTGCTGCGTAACTCATCAACAACATCTACCCCATGTTTGGTTTTGTTGTTGAAAGTTACCATCTCAGTGTTCTGTTTTGTGAACATTGAAGGGTATATTCTTTTTCCTTTCTCTTCTTTCTCCTCTTTGTTTCCCTATCAATGTTTCCATTATGGTGAAATGTTGACACCAGCAGACCAATTTGCTTTTCTTTGCCATATATGAGGTAAATGTTATATCTTTCTGAAATTCAAAGGTTGTGCTATACAGTTCTCTGTTTTGAAACTGCAACACTTCATTTGGAGTCTCTGCTTTGTTCTTGGTCAACTTGTGCTTCCTTAGCAAATGTAACATCAGTTGGCGACTAGCTGTTGAATGCCACATTTTGACTAGTTTGTAAAATGGGAACAGAAAGTCTGTTCTTAACACAGTTTGGTTTGCAACTATATGAATAAGGACCTCCTGGCTAAATTGAAAGAATAACAAGTCTTCACACCTACAAGAACATAAAATTTTATGCCATATTTTGATCCATTACTTTTCTATAAGTCTCTTACATTCCTGTAGTCATCATGAGAAATCTGTGCTAAGTACAGCAAACCTATGACTGCTTTCAATTCAGTTAGTGAGGTGTCAAAATGAATGCATTTTTGAATATGGTTATTGGTGCTACAGAACATTTTACTTGCATTTCAGCCTTTGTGTATTTCAAAGAATCTTATAACATTTCAGCTTTTAACAATTTTCAACACTGAATGGCAGTGCAGGTGTTTCTGTGATGCTCAGTTAACTATTTGCAAAACCAGTTAGACTGAGCATAAAGATGTATCCAAATTCTGTTTTGACACTTTTGTACACATGCACACTCCTTACCGTTCATCATACCAAGTGAGTAAATGCATAGATTGCTTCCTGTATTCCTCAGGGAAAGGCACTGAGACAAACAGCTGGTTAATATAACACTAAAGTACAAATTTACAGTAGAAAGGTAAGAGTTGGGTCCATTGGACCCGGGTTACGTTTGGGAGTGAAGGTATTGAAAGATAGCTCAGAACTTTTTCCAAATTGTTAATGGTAAGAAAGCAAATGACTAAAGAGAAAAAGGGAGGCCCGCAATGAACCCAAGACCAAATATTTACTTTTTAATCTAGTTCTTTGAATTAGGGGAAAATTTAAGATTTTTTTTATCAGTTTAATTTTCTGTATTTGATTTGGTCCTCAGATACAGAGCTGATTAAGTCACTAACTTTATTTTATGGCATATTACCATCATCACTTATGCTATGACTGAAGTGACTTTATTGTCAAATATATTCCATGAAGCTCTTTATCTTTACTCGTATTATCTCTCCCATGTTACAATACACTTGAATACTTTTGATATCTATGTTTGAAATGATGTGTTTTCTTGTAAATTACTTGCTATTTTTTGTATGTATGTATTTGTACTTTACATAATTGTATTGTGCTATAAAAAGTGCTTTTTCTTGTTGTTCCTAATAGCATTTATTTAATGACATCATGATTCATGTTTCATCATTACTTTGCTCCCCAATTTCCCTAATTGTGGACTCTTAATTTGCTCCCAATTCCCCACTGCCACAGTCACAATCGGGATACACGTGGATGCTTATACTCTTCCGGACTTTGGGAGAATTTCTCAAGGATGCTTTCCCAGCACAAATCAAAGACTTGCACATTATGGACTAGCTTCAGTCACTGTAGAATATCCACGCTGATTACTTTATCACCAGTGGGCACGAAAGAATTTCTTTCCCACCTGCTGCCTCCTCCTATGTCATTGTAAAATGTTTAATTTTGTAACTATGAATATGACAGGAATAAATCACTGTATCATTGCTGCTTTAATATGCATTTCTGATTACTATTAATTTTCTCATATTTTCATGTACAATCACCCTTTATATTTCCTTTTCTTTGACTTGCCTTTTTATATCTTGCTTGTTTCTGTCTTGAAGTTTTTCTCTTTTTCTTATTAACTTGCAGGAATCTTTGTATATACTTCAGAAAATCCTTTTGTTAATTAAGTCTTGTTGATGATGGTAATTCTTTCTTTTACCTAAGAAGGTGATTTTAGGTCTTCTTGGAATGCCCTTCCCACTTCCACTCCATAAGAGTCTTCTTCTTCCTCTTCTTCTTGTTCTTCTTGTTCTTGTTCTTCTTGTTCTTCTTCTTCTTCTTCTTCTTCTTCTTCTTCTTCTTCTTCTTCTTCTTTTTCTTCTTCTTCTTCTTCTTCTTTTTCTTTTTTAACTAGCTACATGGTTTTACCTTGACATTTAGGTATTTAACCCATCCAGACTCTTCCTCTATGTTGGTATAAAGCAGGATTCCTATTTTTTTTTGACCTAGATTTCCTAACATCCTGTTAAACACCTTTGTTTCCCTATTGATTTGTATTAGTATTGGTTACATAAATCAGGCTCGTTGATATCCTGTACACGGTCTCTGTGTGCTTGCCTCACTCACCCCATCTCAGACATCTATTTCTTCTCATTCCATTCTGCTCATTTATTTGTCCACTATTAAACCGGTTTCAACAAATTTTTGTGTATGTATATGTATGTGCATGTGTGGTTGTGTATGTGTGTGTGTGTATTGAGGACTGAAGCTAACATCTTTACAATGAGAACATTCCAAATTCTTTTTAATTTTTTCTTTTGAGACACATTCTTGCTAATCAATAAGTTGCCCAGGCTGGGCTTGAATTTATGATCCTACTGCTTTGGCCTCCCTGAGTGTTGGAATTACAGGTGTGCACATCACCATACTCTCCTGGTTCCATATTTTTTAAAGAATGCAGTATGTATTTAAATGCATATATACAGAGAGATACAGAGAGAGTTCGATAAAAATTTAAACTGGACTTGTCTGGAAAATGTGTTTGAAAGGAGATTGTGCCATATAACTAGAAAACAAAAGAAAAATAAATGAAAGATTGAGTGAAGCACAGGAAGTAAACTAAGTCCCCCAGCATCTGTCTTCAACCCCAGAAATGATGTCTGTGGTGCCTATTCTTAACCTCCATGCATATAGGAACTGTATTCTATGCTATCACATTGTCCACAGAGAGATTTTGCTATTGTATTTTTTCCTGTTCAACCTGGTGTCATTAAAGATTTAGGACATGTTACAAAAATGCAAATAACCAAGCAAATGTTATAACATCAAATGAAATAAGAAAAAATGAGCCAAAGAAAAGCTAAAATGGTGCTTTCTTTTTATTTGTAGCCCACATTAGTTTACGGCAACTTTGATTCGCTCTAATTTTCCTTCTATTTGTTGTTGTCATTCTGGCTTTCGTAGGTTTGTTCAGTCCTTCAGCTTTCTTGTTATATAATTTAGGAGAATAAATGAAAACCCAGAAGCTCCCCGGTTTACAAGGCTCTGGGAAGAAGGTGGTATATGCTGTGAGAGAACTTGCTAGGCCTTGCATAATTCCCTGGCTTAAGCTGTGATTGACAGAAAGGGCAGAGATGGAGACTTACGGAACTAGGGTTCTGCTCTCTGCTCTGTTATGACTGCCTGTGACCTTCACTTAGGCACAAAGCTCTCTTGACTTTACCATCCTCAGCTTTCTGGGGAGCAGGTTGTCCTCAGTGATCCCAAGGCCCCAAGGTTCCACCAGTGCCAACATTCTCTGAGTCTGCATTTTTTTGTCCTCTGTGGGGCATCAGCTGCCAGGTCTCTCTGGAAATGTTGTATAACTAATGTGCACACAGGGCCAGATGCTCATGCCCTACTTGGGAAGGCCCACTCCCAAAGGGCGAATTAACCTCTTCCTCTGGCTCAGAATAATTACTCCACAATCATCACGTCTTTCTCACCAGCAGTTCCTCTCCTGTGGAAGCCTCACAGATGGGTCTTACGGAGATAAAAACAAAGGCTTTCCACAGCTGAGAGGAAATAACTCTGCACACTGCACTGTACACTGCACTGCGTAGCAAATATGTGTTATAAAACTTAGTTATAAAATCAAAGAAACAAGACTATTTCTCAATAATTCCTCTTGTTCTCCCTTATGCTGTTGTTCTTTTTCTCAAAAACCAGGTGAACAAACCCAGGCCTCTATTCTGCATTGACCCCTGAACACAGTCACCTCCAAGTTACACGTGAGCTCCACAGAGGAGGAGATTGTGGCTGTCACTTTCCAGTCATCGCGGCAGCTCCTGCTCTCAATCGCCCCAGCCATTCTATCATCTGCCATCCCTGGCGGCTCTAGCCTTCCTCAAAGTGATCTCCACTGTTGTGGTGATGCACAGTACACAGACACCAACTCAGAACAGGATTCAGGCTTAGAACAACTCTAAGAATCCATTGGCCAAACATCTTCATGGTAAGTCTCTTACTGTTTTCTTTTTTCTTGGGCTAGGCCTGATGAACTTTCTCTAAGAAAACACCCCACTTCCCGTCACTTTGCTCCTCTGCTTTGCAAGACATGGTCCTGCATGACCTGATCTGTGTAGCCTCATCTCTTGCTTCTCTTTCCTCAATCCAGGGCCTACAGCCAACCAGTACTTAGGTGGTTTCTAGATTAAACCCTCTGCTTCCTCTCACCACAGGACTTTTGCATGTGCTGTTTATCTCCCTGCAATATCCTCCCTGTTTTTCCTCCTACCCATATCTGCATAACCCTGACATTAGTTATCATTTTCTACTGGCAATTGTTTCAGTTTCCAGTATCCAGGTCAAGCTCTTTTGTTACATGCTTGGAAAGAATCATGTTCTATTTTCTTTACTTTGCTACACAGAACTAATAAAATGGCAGGTTTTTCCTTAATGGCTTCACAGATCTTGTGTCAAAGCCAAAACCAGTCATTGAAGCTTGAACTCCTAAATCCCCTTCACATCCAAGCAAACGAAAAAGGTAGTGGATTCCCACATTCTTCTTCTGCCACCAGGTATTTCTTTATATAAGTCAGTGTTGCTAATTATCACATTTTAACAATTAATACATTCCTGATTACTAAAAATCCCATTGAACCTATTAATATTCATGTTCCTATAACTATAAAATAAATGGAAATTGTGGGGAAATTTTACATATATCCAGAGATCTCAATTTTCTTTTGCTTTTTCATAATATTGTATGTTTTATATTGAAAGCGATTATTTGGCAACATGGAAATTTGCGTGACATTCAACTCATTTTGTATTTTTATTATCATTAGTGTTTTTTTAAAATCCTAGAGCTGGTTGTGGTAGTACACATCTGTAATCTCAGCACTCAGGAGGCTGAGGCAGAACCAGAATAGAGAGTCTGAGACTATGCAGTGAGATAATAGCAACCTAAACTACAAAGCAAGACACTGTCTCAAAAAAACCAAAACCAAACCAAAACAAACAAAAAAAATACAAATAAAAATTCTTTTCATTTATGTTTTTATTTATTGGAAAAATAGAATAATATAATGACCCCTCTATTTGCACTAGAGTTTGCCAACTCATTGCCAATTTTCTTTCATCTATACACCCAGCTACCCCAACAAATTATAACTTATCTAACTTTAAATTAGGCTTTTTTGCTCTTTTAGAACACATTGGGGAATTTTACTTTTGGTATCAGTGGAGTTCCTCCATGCATACACTTACCTATTAAATCTAAAATAGAATAACGAATGCATTGTAAAAATCACAAGCTCAGATCTTAATGAGCTGTTATCAGTCAGAATGTGATAGAGTAAGGGAAAGAGCCTGGATCCTTGAAATCTCCACCAGGTCTCTGAACTACCTCTGGACTTCTTCCTGTGATGAGGAAAATAATCTTCCTAAGTTGTTCTACATATTCTGCTGCATTTAAAATCATACAAATTAATGCAGAACCCAACCAGCCTGATTTATTTGTACAGATTCCTAGAGCATACAATTGTGTTTTATGCCAAACAACAAAATGTACTGATAATGATGTGTGATTAGAGTCATTTCATTTCAATTCATTAAACATCTACTGAGCACTTGCTATATGTGGACACTGTGCTTGATATTGGGAAATTAAAAATAGGGTATAATCTCTGCCCTCAACAACATTCCCAACAAAGTTTAATGTAAAATATGAAAACCCAGGAAGTATTACTGTGGGAAATAATACTACTTTCTACACTGTTAGATTTTGTCTCCTTGGCTTGGGAAGGATGCTTAAGGAACTATCTCACCTAGAAATGATAAAATCACACATAGGAACATCCTGCAAAGAAGACTGGCTCAAGAATAGACCAATTGGTAGCCACGAATATGAGGATTTTATGTGCTCTAGGATTGGTTCTTGCCCCAGAAGAGTCCTTCCTAGTGTCTAAATTCCCCACTTCTGGATTCACGTCTTTGGTTGAAGGATTTGTCCCTTGATAAATTACAAGTATTCCAGAGACACAACACATTTGCTCTCCATCATTTAAGAGAGAATTGGAGCTAGTATGAAGGTTACAGGGACTCGAAGAAAGGTGGGCAGAATTAGAAGGAGAAATGGGTACTAAAATGAACTTTGGAGACACCAAGGTGATTCACATTTTAGCTGAGTCAACTCTGAGCCAGCTAAAAGAATCATATAAGGATAAGTTATCTATAGGTTTTGTTTTGTTGTGTTTTTTACAATTCTGTCTTTGACTTGGTTTTTGTTTTTAAAAAGATTCATGGATGATTGAGTCACCATCTCAGTGGTGTGAATGTTTCATGCAAAGATTCAGTTGGGCATTCAAGTGTGGAAATAAATTAGGGGATTGGAGAGACTCATCCTGCTATCATAGCACTTCCAAAGGGTCGGGAAACAATGGAGACAAGATAAGCTTTTTTGCATTCTGGTGACCAAATGAGAAATGCAGAACTGTGTAAAAAAGTAGCCAACTCAGAAGGATGCAGAGATGTTTTCCCACAGCAGCCTGAGTGTTCCAGTTAGCACTTCCTAAGGAAGACCTAGGTTTCAGAGCCCTACAAGATTGTTACCACCACTTCCTCTGCCCTAACTCTTCTATTTTGTCTGCAGCCCTCACTTCCTGGCATCTCCTTTTGTCTCTCAGGAAACTCAACTCAGTGTCTGCAGCCCAGCTAACTCCTGGACATTTTGGTTTACAAAGGGTTTCAACTGTAAAAGCCTCATCCTGATCTAATCATTGCAGGGAAATAGAAATACATAAAGAGAAAAGATTTGGCATATCTGGATGAGAATTTTCTGTGCAAAAGTGAAATCTTGCCTCAATTATCTGAATAATGAATTTTTTTTTATCTTTGACTAGTAAGGCTGCTCTGAGTTTTGACTGTTCATGTCCTTCAAGCATTCCTTGAGTTCCCACCATAAACCAGGCAGTGAGGTAGACACACTGGGCAGTAGCGAGTCCTATAGACACAGTCCCCTGCTAGAGTTGCTCTCCCATGTAGAGGAAGCCACTGAGAAAGTTCAGTAAGTGGGATTCTTGGAATGTGTGTCTGAGAAACCCCACAGAGTGGGCGATGCATAGGTCCCCCAAAGGAGGAAGCAATGATGACTTCAAAAAGAGGGAAGACCTTGGAGAAATAAAACAACAGCAGCCAATAGTTATAGTGAGGGGTGATGATGGTGAGTTTGTGTTAGCTAAGAGAACATCCAGTAGGGGAGATGAATGGGCAAGAGGAATTAAGCTGAGCGGGGATCAACTGGGCCAAAAGCACAGGGAGAAGGAAAATCAACACTTACCTGCAAAGCAGAGAAAGCTTCAGGGAAGGCTTCCTTAGAAACAGGAATAATGCAGTGGGGATGGGCAAGTACGCATGAGAACTCCAGAGCTAATGTCGGGAGATGGTTGGAAATAATGTAAACCTGTAAACCTGTAATGTAAATGTAACCTGTAAAAAAGAAGATCTAATTCAACTTACATCACTTTACTTGACTGGCTGCTGGTCTGTCTTTATGTGGACCAAAATGTCAAGTTTTTGGACACAAGGATATTTGTTTGTGAAAATTGCTTAACAGCATTTTTAAGTGATTTTATTTCTATACATCATTGCCCTCCCTCAGTAGCCAGCCTGATAAACAATCGCACACTTCCTCTTCTTCCTTTAAGACGTGGAAGGTGAGAGGGCAGGGGGATCATAGAAGGCACAGAGGACTGAACCCCTTCCTTGTCCAGGGTCCTGCAGCTCTTTTTTCCTTGCCTGATCTCTGGCTCTAATTAAAGAAGTCTTATCTGCCTTTTACTGGAACATAAACCATACTGCCTAAGGTCCCCAATGACTCTTAATGCATTTTTTAAAAGCTGAAAACACATAAAATCCTCACATTTGTAAATTAACATGGAGACAGACATGATGAAAAACAGAAATTTCACCAAAAATCTGTATTCCAAACCAATGCTAAAAGTGTTTCTAAGAGTTCCTATATTTTAACTTCTGCAGTAGAAGTGTTTGCGAGGTCTCTACATTTTCCTGTATACTCAGAAGTTCACATTACCTGAAATATATTTGAGATTAGTGTTTTAATAATATCTAGACAGGCACCAGGCAAGAGAGAGGGATTTGTTATTAAAAAGGAATAAGGCTGAGGATTTAGCTCAGCAGCATAAGCGCCTGCCTTGCAAGCGTGCAGCCATGAGTTCGATCCCCGGTACCAAATAATAGTAATAATAATAATAATAATAACAATAAAACATTCTTTCCATTTGCTTAATAGTCACAAAGAACATTTTGTAATACTGCATCACAGAGATATAACTTCTGGATTTATGGCATATTCAAGTTTTTTTTTTTTTCCTGCCCAGAACTTTGCTTAACTTTCTTAGGTTTCTTGATATGTGTGGTTTAAAGTCAATAAGCTTGAGGCATTACAAGAGGACAGAACTGTGGTGGTAGTGAGGCGAGAATCTGACCTTCTCCTGAAAGACTTTTCCCTCACCAGGACACTTTCCATCTCTGAACACTTCAGGGTGGGGAATCCAGAACAAGCTGAGGATGAAGACAGATAGTTCTGACACTGGTAACTAGCAGTGTCTAGTTACTAGCACCCTTAAGAAAGTCATTTTGTCATGCTAGGCCTTGTTTTTTCATCTATAAAATTCTTATTTAAACCAAAGATTGTTAAATTCCTCCCAGCCCTTCAATACTCTAATTCTGTGGCCATGAGGCAAGTCCTAGAGCTCCTGATGATAGGGGTCAAGATACCCTTGATGAGTGTGTTCACTGTGTCAAAGCACGAGCATTTGAAATGGTGAGACATTTCATAAGTGGAACTGATAAGTATCAATTCAAATAACTGATTTGTAAAGTATTGCTAGTTGGTGAAGGCTTAACACAGCACACCAGACTCCTTGATTTAGAATATCCACCAGATGCCCTTTGTATGTCAAAGCCCACTTGTACCACTCTGTACCCAAA